GAATTAAAAGAAGGGAGCAAACATATGAATAAGGAATAAGAGACTATAAAACGGCCACGAAATTTTGAAAAGGAAGCAAATAAAACTTCTAGCAACAAAAACCTATATAATTGAAATAAAATGAATGGAGTGACCAGCAGAGTCAATGCGGCTGTTACAGCCAAGGTGGCTCCCAGCTACAGCAGCAACCCATCGGAGAGGGGAGTTCAAGCATTTCTTGCTCACGTACAGTTCAAAGCTGGTGTTCCTTAATGGCAGGCAGCTCTCCCCCCGGAATAATTCCACCTGTGGCTCCACCATCTTCAGCACATGGCTACCAAGGTCACCACATTGCCCGCATCACCTGGGGATCACCCGGGCATCCTAGAGCACCAAGGGCCATGGAGGGACCAGGTGTGGGGACCAGGCTCTTCGATGTTGCATCTTGCTTCATTCACATCTCAGTGACTTGGACTCAGTTTACACGGCTGGGAAATGTGGTCTAACTGTGTGCCCAGGAGCAAGCGAAAGCAGGTTCGGTGAGTGGCCAGGCTGTCTGGTCCACAGCAGGTGAAGAAGTGTGAAGGTCCATTCAACAGGAGCCACAGCTATTATTTTGCTAACTGCACTCTTGAAAGCCCTGCCCGTTGTTATTTCGGTTAATCCTACTGACTCCCACCCTGGGAATTAGGCTAAGCAAGGAGGATCTTTCCCATTTTATAAGTACGGAAACTCATGCTCAGAGAAGAGCAGTGTCTTGCCTAAGAGTGCAGAGCTGCTGAGATCGGAGTCCAGGACTTCCCACAACATCACACTGATGCCTTTCTCTCCAGATGACAGGGGGAAAGGGAAGGGATCACAGAGCCAGAGTTCCTCCATATGCCTCTGTGTTTTCAGCTGAGCTGGTGAACACACCAGCCTAGGGGCCAGTGAACCCAGGGGCCAAGGAAACCAACTGGAGGTCAGAGCAGTGAGTCTAGAGTTGAGCTCAGCTTTAACACTGGCTTCCTGGGGCGTCAGGTCTGCATCTGCCCCACCCCAGTAGAGCTAAGAGGTCCCTGTCATTGGGTCAGCCAGCAAATATTTATCCAGTGCCTCTGGTGTGCTGAGTAGTGTTGTGGGTTTCAACGAGCAGAGCCTGGGGGCAGGGGACATGCAAAATCCAGGTAAGGTTACCTGATGAGCTAGCTCTTAATGTCTGGCCCTGAACTCCAACTATGTGCTGGGGCCCGGACCTCATGTGATGGCATTTTCACCAGAACCCATGGAGGGAGGGTCTTTCAGTTCTGTTTTTGAAGGTATAGTGATGGTGATGGTGATGATGATGGTGGTGATGGTGGTGATGATGATGATGATGGTGGTGATGGTGGTGATGATGATGGTGACGGTGATGATGATGATGATGGTGATGATGATGGTGATGGTGGTGATGATGGTGATGATGATGATAATGATGGTGATAATAATGCTGATAATGGAGGTGGTGGTGGTGATGGTAGTAGTGATGATGGTGATGGTGGTGATGGTGGTAATAATGGTGGTGGTGGTGATGATGATGATGATGATGGTGATGGTGGTGATGATGGTGATGGTGGTAATAATGGTGGTGATGGTGGTGGTGGTGGTGATGATGATGATGGTGATGGTGGTGATGATGGTGATGATGATGGTGATGGTGGTGATGATGGTGATGGTGATGATGATGGTGGTGATAATGATGGTGATAATAATGCTGATAATGGAGGTGGTGGTGGTGATGGTAGTAGTGATGATGGTGATGGTGGTGATGGTGGTGATGGTGGTGATGCCATCTGACATTATTGAACACTATGTGCCCAGCAATGTTACAATGTCAGATGGATTCTCTTCTTTCACTTTCATAGTAACCCTACAAAAACCAGATTCCTTTGCTCCCGTCTGACAGAGAAGGAAACTGAGGCTCAAGGAGGTGAGTGATTCACCCTGCATCACAGAGAAGGTGGAGGATGCACCCAGGATTCCCGCCCAGAATCTGACTCAAGCATTGCACTGAAACCACCGCACCTCCCTGCCTCCTCCGATGGGGCTCTGAGCTCCTCCAGGACAGGGCCTCCATCTGACCATCTCTATATCCGCAGCTCTGAGCCCAGGGCCTGCACATTGGCAGGTGCTCAGGGAAGGTCTATTAGGAATGGCTTGTGCGCAATGATTTGTACAGATGTAAAATCCCATCTGTGCCTTAATGTATCACCTTTACAAGCAATAAGCATACCGATCGATTTGAAATGCTCGTGGATAATTGAATGAATTCGTGCAGTTTTTGGCCAACCCAGATCAGTTGGCTGGCTCTTCCTGGAAGAACCATGTCCGGGACATCCCCATCATCCACTGCCCAACCAGCCAGGACTCCCAGAACCTGCTGCCCCAAGATCAAGGCACCCTGGCCGCTCCCTAAGTTAAACCCACCCATGGGTGAGGACCCCATGAGCTCCCAGGTAAGAAAGGCCTGTGATGTCCCCCTGCCTCTTACAGAGAAAGAGCCCATAGGGGCAGGGACTGGAGGAGGGGAGGTAGCGGCATTGATCTGTTGCCAGAGAGAGAGAGAGCAGGGAGGAACACACTTCTCTCCAGACAAGCTGTTCGCTTACCAGCTGCCTTTGGTAAAAGAAAAAATATTCCTAGTGCCATCTGTTCCCAGAGTGGGGCTGGTGTGGGGCCCGGGGCTTCCTGCCGCTCAGGCAGCCAGACCCAGTTTCAGAATCTGCGACAGCTGCCCCCCTGGATTATTTTGGGAAGCGGCTCAACTCCGCAGCACCCCGGCCTTCCTTCGAGGCATTTCCCGTCACTCCAAAGCTGTTTGCACACCCGGCCCCAGACTGCCAGCTTCTTCTCAGGCCTGCCTATCCTCCCGTTCAGCCACTGTCATCATCCCTCTTCCCACTTCCCCCGCAACCCCTGCAGGAGTCAGACTCCCCGGGGTGGGGGGCAGGGACAGCCAGCTAAACGGAGGGAAGGGCTCCCTGTCCGCCTCCCTGGTCTCCTCTGTGAGACCTATGGCTTCCACAGCCTCCAAGCGCCAGGCAGGACACCCAGGCGTCCACCCCGTGCCACCGGGGGCTCCCCCTCCCTCATTGACTCCTCAAGGATCGTCACTTTGTGAAAACTAAGCTCCTGGAAGAGGGGGATGGGCATCTCAGGCAGGGGCAGCAGCAGAAAGGCCCGGAAACCGAGCTGAAAGCAGACAGGAAGGGTTGGGGTGGGGCAGGGGGTAGACCACAAGGTCGGCATGCTGGGAGGGCCCAGGGCATCGGATGCTGCGGAGAGGCTGGGGACCAGGGGGGATTTAAAGCAGGATACTAATGTAATCACAATCCCAGGACAGAAAAACCCCAAGTGTTGGTGCGGAGCTGGGGTCAAAGGGGAGAAAGGTAGAGAGCCCAGCTGCGGAGTCACCGTATCCTGGCCCCGCATGGGGGTGAGAGCCTGGACAGCTCCAGAGGCAGAGGGGAAGAGAGGAGGGTGTGAGTTTAAGAGGCAAGCTGAGGGCAAGACTTGGTTCCCCGGGAAGGGGTTCTGGATGAGCCATGGATCTGTGGCCTGGGGGCCAGGAGGCTGAGATGGGGCATCAGGAGGTGGGACAGGGGAAGGGGCGAGCTCTGACTTGGACATGGAGAGTGGGGTGGGTCCCCCAAGGGAAGCTGCGCCCCTGGGTCTGGTCAGGAAGGGGGAAGGGATGGGGGGTGTCAGGGGCTGGCAGGGGGTGGGGGATGGTGTTACTGTCTAAGGGGGACAGAGTCTCGGTTTGGCAAGATGGAAGGAATTCGAGGGACAGATGGTGGTGATGGTTACACAGCACTTTGAGGGTACGTGATAACACCGAACCATACCCTTCAAAATGGCCAAAATGGCCAGCCTATCGAGTGTGTTTTACCACAGTAAAAAAAACCTGATTGAATCCTGTGATTAAAAGGCAGAGGCATTCAGATTGGTCAGAAAGATACAACTATTTGTGTCTGTAAGGAATCCTCTTTAAATACAGAGACACAGAGAGTTGGAAAGTAGAAAGACGGAAAAGCTACCTCGCTGTATTAATATCAGACAAAGGAGGTTTCAGAGCAGGAGATACTCCAGAGGATACACAGGTAATGCTCCCAACGGGCACAGCGGTGGCGGCGGCCCCGGGGAGGCAGAGATGGCCTGGCCCGCACCAGCCCCCTACCGCAAAGGCCCTCCCCAAGGCCAAGGCCGTCAAACTGTGATGACCCCAGACCTAGCGGGCTCTGTCCTCGATGGGGGTCCTGAGCTGGGAATGCAGGGGAGAAGCCCAGCGGCAGCCCCGGGGGGCCCACCTCAGCCCTCCCCTGCCAGCCCTGCCCCCCTGCCCCCTGTGCCTTGTCCTGGTTGGTTCCCGCCCCACGTCGGCTACTGGGACGGCCACGGTCAGCCCTCCTCCAGGGACTTATTCTTTGCGAAACATAGGCAGCAAGTGCCAAGTCTCAGCAGAGAGAGAGCAAGGCCCCTCCCCGGGACAGACTGGGAGACCACAAAGATTTCTCCTTCGGGGTTTCTGGGCAAGGTTCTCTGCCACCGTTGTGGGGTGGGGCCTGGCCCACGGTTCCTCTGGCAAGTAACCACCTTAGCTGCCCCAAGGGGCTCGGGGGCTTGGTTGTGGAGCCATGTCCATCCCCCTGAGGGAGAGACAGGCTAGCAATAGCTAACTGTGGGCAGGCTGGGGCCTCTGGCCATCTGCCCTGACACCCAAGAGTCCTTTCTGCTCCCAGGTCAGGCCCTGGAGCCTCAGGGAAGGTCAGCATCACTGGGCTCTCGGCTGCCCCCACGGGTGCCCTCAGAGATGGGACTCCGAGCACCTTCCACGCCTGGCCCGTGGGAAGGGGAGCTGCCCTGGGGAGGGGAGGGGGGTGAGCTCGTACACATGCAGATTGAACTGTCTCTCCCAGGACACTACAGCCTCCCCAGATCCCTCCCAGAAATAACACTTGTTAATATAAGCTGAGTGAGGCCAGGGGGTGGCTCAAACCAGATCCATGCATGCCTGCTGAATTCAAAGATACTTGGACACGGGAATGGGGGTGGGGGCAGGGCCGGCACACCGCAGACACACAGGAAACGGGGGGCACGGGCTGTGCGGTGGGGCAGGTCCCTCTGGGGCCCTTGGGTCTTCCCGCGGCTGCTGCAGGCAGGCAGGCTCCGGGAAGCAGCTTCTGGGGCAGTGACTGCTAATTGGGGGATCCACGGGGCATGCTATCTGTGCTTTCTTGCAGCTTGTGCTTTCGAAACAAGCTGTAGAGGACGCGCAGCGTGCTCTTGGCGTCCTTGTTCACAATGTCTGCGGGCCAGAGGAGAGCAGGACAGCTGGTGAGGCCTTGGCCGGGGCGAGGAGGGGGGTGACCACAGTCCCACTTGGCCCGGGACCAAGGGGCTTCCTGGGACACGGGACGTCAGGGCTAAACCCGGGGTCAAACAGGACGGTTGGTCATGCTAGGCCTGAGTCCTGGGACCCATCACATGGCCCTGCCTCCCTCCTCCCACCCAGTCCTCCCCTGTACCCCTCTTGTGGTGCCCCCCACATATAATTCCTCAAGGTCTCATCCGTCTGGACAGCCTGCCCCGGGGTCCCCAGTCCCCTGTGTCCTCTCCCCGGGCCCCCTCCTCCAGCAGGGTGGGTGGAAGCTGTCTTCCCGTCGTGGGAAGGCCCCGTGCTGAGCAAGAGGACCACCCCGACACAGGCCATCCCCCGACACCGCAGCACCCACGTGGGCCACGCGCTCACCTTCGGGGTTGATGGGGTAGTCGAGCAGACCTTCGTCCTTCAGCAGCTCCAGGGCACGGGTGACGTTGTGCAGCTGTGATAAGAGCCCACCAGATGTTAGCCCCAACCCAGGCCTGGGCCCCCAAGTCCCAGGCCTCACACTTCAAGGAGGCCACCTCTAGTGGGGAAGGCAGTTATGGCGAGGGGCGTCCGGTCCGGAGGTCAGGGAAGGCTTCCTGGTGGGGGTGACACCTAGAGGTAAGTCCTGCCGGGCAAGGAGACTTAGGCAGGGAAAAGAACACAGGTTTATCCTGGCCTTTTCTGTTGCAGCCCCAGCACTGTGGGCAACAGAGGCCCCATCGGAAACAGCTGAGGAGAGAAGGTGCAGAGTGGCCAAGGGGCTCACACGAGCTCACAAGATGGAAAGTGGCAGAACCAGGTCTGTCTCACTCTGATGTCCGTGCAAAGTGGGCTGGAGGCTGGAGCAGCCGCCCATGCCGAGGCGCTCGTGGGTTCAGATCCCTGCTCATGGGGTAACTTCCAGCAAGTCGCTTGGCACCCCTGGGCCTACCTTGCTCACCTGCAGAGTGGAGTCACCACCATCTGCCCCGTGTCCTGATCCAGGGTGCCGGGTGGGAGCCCAGGGGGGCCCGAACAGCCCTTGGCTCAAAGCACATGCTCTGTTAGTGGGGTTTTCCCTATTCGTGGCTAGCTTCTCCCTTAGGCCTCAATACAATCAAAACGACCCTGCCCTTCTCCTGGGGACAGCGGCCTGGTGTGGGGCAAAGCAGGTCTAAAGCTGGTTTCCCAAGCTGTTTGACCATAGGATCCACTTGTCGTGGAGCACCTCGTGGGACCAGTGTTTTGGAAACACTTTGTCCACTCGCTTATTTAAAATACATTTACTGAGCATCTACTATGGGCTGGCCGGGCAGCAGGGGGCCAAACCAGACCCCCTCCCTGCCCTCATGGAGTTGGTGCCTTGAGAACTGTCTCTTGACACTGTAAAAATGATCACACTTGCTTCAGCTCGTCAAGCCCATACTCGACCTGAGCCCTGCAGGCTCCAGAGACGTCTCAGCAGGCTCTACCCCTGGTGTCACGTCCCTTCCACGCACGGCCTGAGATTATAAAAGTAAAACCACCACGTTGCACGGAGCTGAGGGCAGGTTGTCATCCAGGAGGATGTGCTCAAATCCTCCCAGGGAGAAATAATTGAATGTGGGAGGAAGCCCACGATTCCCGATGCCGGTGTTTTGATTTCTGCAGAGCAGACAGTCGCCTCCCTCCCTCTGTCCCTCGCTTGTCTTCCTGGAAGGGATGACGGCCTCACATAAACACCAGTGGCAAGGAAGGTGTGATAATAAGGCATCCAATTTCGAGGGGCCACTCTGCCAAGATTACGTACGATTCCTCGGGTGTCCCACCGGCGGAGGGCTGTGGTCCCCGCCCTCCAGCTAATAACTTCTTTGGCATTTTGATCATACGCTCCTGCGGCTGAGGTTACCTACAATGTCCTATAAAAATTCATTCTTGGGGTCTGAGCAAAGAGGCTGTTTCTCGCCCCCGCTATGCAGTGTGGCTCAGATTGGGAAGTTGGTTCTAAAATCGGTGGCTAGAGCGGGCTCACGGCCCCCAGGGACATCAGGAGTAAGAATGCTTGTCCCTGGCTTGTAACTGGGGTTTGCAAGCATGCCGAATCCTGGGCAGAGGCTTTGAAGTCCCATGAAGCCCAACACCTAAGTAACAAAGAGGGGACACCAGTGATGTTCTGGGTCCCGGTTCTGAGCCCCTTCCCCAGGCTCCCTGGCCTGCGTTTGGCCCGTGCTCTTCCATCTTCCTGCCTTCTCCCCCACCTCTGTGTTCTGCCTTCTGGCTGTAGGGTAAGCACCACCACCTCAGCTGGGCTCTGACCCTCCTGGGCCCTCCCAGTGGCCCAGCACAGGTCTGATCCATCCCCAGGACTGAGGCTCTCACCCTCCCCAGGGCCACAGGTAGGCCAAAGGGACATCTTTCCTTCTCCCACAAACGGCCCCAAGGCTGGCTCTGGGAACTGGCCTGCAGCCCTGCTTCGTATTCCTACTCTACAGAAGAAGCCACTGTGGAGAGATAAAGGGGGTGCCTTCCAGCGGGCCACAGCGACCCTGGCGTGGACAGAGCTAAGCAGGCCACCTGGGGTCCTGGGCAGGCCGCCACCTGCCCAGTGCTCTAGCGCATCTCAGCCACGCCTCCGGCATCACCTCCGGTAGGGCTGATGCTCACGAAGACTCCTGGCCGGTCCCGAGCAGGCCAGGGGCCCCAGGGACCGCCCGCCCTCGATGCTTCCCCTCTGTGACCCTCCAGACTCCGTCTGGGTGGTCTGAGGGGTGGGCAGGGCAGGGATTGTGAGCCCACGGGGAAGAAACGAGAAGCCCAAGGTGCAGGCCGTGAGCTGGTGGTGGAGCAGGGACCGGACCGAGGCTTCTGGTTCCCCTGCCACGTCTGCCCCGACGTGGGGCCGGATGATGGGGTCCGGTGCTGCCCCTCATCTGCAGAGGAGTGAGAATCCCCTGCCCTCACTGGCATGTCGATGGTTCTTGTGGAAGGGGCCTTCCCGGCAGGGGAACAGCCTGGGCAATACCCCGAGCGGGGAGAGCGCGAGGAGCTCTAGCACCGTGGTGCCCCGCGGGATGGCTGGCGAGGCCAGCGGGCTGAAGAGCAGAGCAGGGGAACGGGAGCCCGCCAGGCGGGGAGGCTGTGCGTGGGGATGTAGGCAAGCCTGTCACTGCCACCAGCATTGTCATCCTCTCCCCGGCTTCCCCGGGTCAGGACGCAGACCCTCCTGCCTGGACTGGTGTAGACGTCCCCCAAGCAGCCTACCAGCCTGCAGGGGCCACAGGAAGACTCCTGACCCCTGCCATGCCCTGGCCCACCCATGCAGCAGCGCAAACCACAGATGGACACAACCCTGAGATTTCCGTGCTTCTGTCCACACCTGAACCTTTGCTGATGCTGTTCCCTCCCCTTGGGGTGCCCTCACTCTGCAAAGCAAATGCTGATCAACAACATGTGTCACCTCTTATGCCCTCCCAGACTCCTTCAGATCATAGCAACCGCTCCTTCCTCCGGGTCCCCAACTGACCCACCCTCCCTGAACCAACACACTTCATTGTGGCCCTGGGGAACCACACATCACTGAGAGTACAGTGGGTATAGACTGAGAGGCCCTCAAAAACAGGAGCTGTGTGGGACTATCTTTATGACCCACATGCCACAGCTTGACACCAAGCAGGACCTTAAGAAATGAAGGATCAGATGGCAGATGGGGGCTGGATAGGTGGATGGATGGATGGGCAGATAAGTGGGTGGATGGATGGATGGATGGGTGGGCAGGTGAATGGTGGATGAACTGGGTGGATGGGCAAATAGGCAAGTCAATGGATAGGTGTGAGGATGGATGGATGGATGGATGAATGGATGGATGGATGGATGGATGGATGGATGGATGGATGGATGGATGGATGGATGGGCAGGTAAATGGATGGATGAGCAGATAAGTAGGCAGATGGATGGATGGGTGGGCAGGTGAATGGATGAATAAACTGGGTAGATGGGCAAATAGGCAAGTCAATGGATATGTGTGAGGGTGGATGGATGGATGGGTGGATGGATGGATGGATGGATGGATGGATGGATGGATGGATGGATGGATGGATGGTTGGATGGATGGGTAGATGGGTGGATGAGCAGATAAATAGACAGATGAATGGATGGGCAGGCAGGTGAGTGGGCGGATGAATTGGGTAGATGGGTGGATGGATGGGTAGATATATGGACAACCAAACAAACTTCCCCTCCACCCTTCACTTCTCCTGGAAGTGAATAAGGAGACTGGTATTGCCAACTCCATAAGGCCTACATCAAGGAAACCTCTGGAAAACTTACCATTTCCGCAGGAGAGGTGGGAGTGAGGTAGAATTCCTTCAAGTGCAGGAAGAAGCCTTCCAGTTGTCCAATCAGCAAGAGTAAGAAGACCCCGTCTGCAAACTGCAGAGGAGAGCGTTGGAGGCAGACGGCCCAGGGCTCCTGCTCTGCCTCCCGCTCTGCCTCCTGCGGGCTGTGTGGTGCTGAGGAAGCACGCACCTCTCTGAGTCTCAACTGTCTTTCTGAGACTTAAAGACAACATCTCCGACCTTTGCAGTGTGTTGTAAACATCGGCGGCAGCAGGTAGCAAGCACTCACCGGCCACCTGACACAGACCACACGCTCCATAAAATAGGTTCTTTTCACATTATCTTGTGAGATAGCTGAATATTGCTATTTAAACCACATACTGATCCGTGAGCTACAGGAGCATAGGAGAAAACAGAGTCGGGTATAAAATTATTCCTCCAGAAGAGGCAGAGAACAGCACACGGGGCTCATTTTACTGGCTGCCACGTTAATATTTCTACCTGCTCCGTCTGTATGGTCAGAGATAAAGCCGCCAGCCCGCCACCAGCGTATCATATCCTAGCGTAATCCTACTCAATCTCTTCAAAGATACAAAACACAAGATTAGCTATTGGAGGGAAAACCACCACTCGAAGTCCTTAATAGAATTTCCCCATATTAAGTCTGTTCCGATGTTATTAGTTCAGTCTGAAATCTTTTCTGCTGATATTCCCTGGTAATACCCCCAAAATACCAGGGACTTCAACTTCTCCCTTTATCCGACAGTCTCTACATACGGTCCTCCCACATATCATTATTTTCTGAACGCCATTCCTTCGCCAAGGGAGAGAGAAAGACGAGAAGCAGGTAAAATGGAAACCTACAGGATCATCCTTAAATACCCACATAAGATATAATAAAACCCCAAATTCAGCATTTATGGCATGTCCACAGTGTACCAGGTCCTATGGTAAACACCAGAGGTTCATCATCTTATTTGTCGCTCCCAATTCTATGAGGCTGGTCTCCTTAAACTCATTTTAAAAGAAGAGGAGCCTGAGGTTCAGAGAAGGCCAAGCCAAGGCCACGCAGATAATGTGAAGGAGGTGTCCTTAGAGCTCAGGCCGCACGTGTCCATCTGGTACCCATCAGGTCCAGAGCCTGGTATCGCCAGCCTGCCACGTCACCACACCATGTCACACACGGCTTCTCGTGTGGCCACCGTGGGACGTGCTGATGCGCACAAACTGTGGGCCTCAGCACCCCGGATTCAAATCCCGGGTCCTCTGCTCTATTGCTGGGTGACCTTGCATGAGTTCTTCGACATCTCTGTGTCTTAGTGTCCTCATCTATAAAATGGAGTAGTATCTGCTCCCCCCCGCAGGGACTGTCAGGAGGATTCAGGAGTTACTGGATGTAAAGCACTTTGTTCAGGGCCTGGCACATAGTGAGGACTTTATTGCCTTTAGGTACCTGGCAGCCCATCCCTCGCTGGCTAATGCCAGGTGCGTTAGAAGTCAGCAGCTCTGGCTAAGATCACCATAAGCCATTTGGCCCACCGGGGGCCAGACCTGCCTTCCACCTCCCTCCCCCACGGCCACCACGCTGCATGGGCGGAAACACGGTGGCAGGTGGATGAGGCCAGTGGCCAGCAGGCTCCATCGCCCCCCGAAGGCCCTGGGCTGACAACTAGCCTCCCAGCTTCTCTGTTCCCTTCTGTGCTGAGGGGGCATTACGGGTGCACGGTGTCCTCATGGAAGGCCGTGGCCCCCTGCACAAGGCTGACTGGTAAGATTCTGTCCTGCCCCACGGTGGCACTCGGTGAAGTCAGCTGCGGCGGGCTGGGCAACTGGGGGGCCCACAGAGGCTCTAAGACAGCGCCGGGCACGTGACACCATGAGCAAATGCAGTCACACGAGGGAGACTCCAACCGCATGGGGGAACCCACAGTCCCTGCCTCACGAGATCCCCGCAGTGTCCCTGGTTGGTGAGGCTACCTCCCAGCAACAGCCCCCCACTAGAGAGGAGGACCCCACGGCTCTGAGAGGCGACACATCCTGGGCCACACGGGGGCGGGACCCGGCTCCCAGGGCCCCGCAGGACCCTCTTCCCCACCTGCACCCCATGGCCCTTCCCCGCCTGGGGGCCCCACGGCTGAGTCCCTACCTGGGTGTCCAGGTTCTGCACAGACAGGCCCAGGCGGTCCAGATTCTGGTTGACGAAGTTCACAATGGCCTACCCGAGGAAAGACAAGGACCTTAGGCCCAGGGCTCCGGTTTGCCACCTTCCCGCTCGGGAGGGGACAGAAAGCCCCTTGCGTGGCTTCCGAAGCACAGCAGGTGAGGAGCGAGGGCCTTGTTCCTTCCCCTTCATCCTGCAGGACTCAGGGTGGACAAGCGGGAGCACGACTAGGAGCTTTGATCTCTCTTACCTCTTTCACCGTGTTCACTTTCTCCGGAGCCAGCCTAAATAATTCATCAAAGATGTCCTCTGCAGACAGATCCAATAAACACCTCATTACCATGCCGTTGTCTTTGGGCCAAACAGGGACTGTATTTCCATACAAGTTTCTCAGGGTCCCCAGTCCAGAGGGAGCTGTCGTTCTACCTCCGGGTTCTTGAATTTAAAAAACGGGCCTGGGTCTGTCTGGGTCACTGCTCCCCTGGCTGTGTGGCCCAGGAGGAACTGCCTCCCCTCTCTGTGCCTTGGTGTCCTCATCTGCAAAGTATGGCTGGTAATACCTACTAGATGGGGTCGTTGCAGAGATGAAATTTGGGGCTACATAACACACTTGGCGTGGTGGCTGGGCACACAGTAGGGCTTCACTAATGGTCCTCCTTTCTGTAGTCGATGCCTATGGTGTCTGCTCCGCCACCACCCCGTCCTCGGGAAGCTGCCCTGCCTCCTCCCAGGCCCCTGCTCTGCCCACAGGTTCCAGAGCGGACATAGGTGGCTGAGCAGGGGCCAGCCCCACACGGACGCTCAGCCTATAGGTCTCCTCCCCAGCATTTCTGGATTGGCAGAATGAGGACATCGAGCCCTGCACCATGCAAAAGGCCAGCACCCTCAGCAGCTGAGTCATGCCTGTGAGACTCGGGAACAAAAGAGGCATCTTGGCAGCTCAGCAGCTCAGGCCCTGGGCCCGCCTCAGACACCCGAGTCCTCAGATGAATGCCCTTTTCCCACAAGCTGTCTTCCTAATATTTGCAGCCCATGCATCTCCCTGGGGGAGACCAGTCCTCCGGCACCGAATGCCCCAGCTAGCTAGCAGAAATTACCTTCCGACTCTGCCACTCAGCAGCTGTGCAACCCTGAGTAAGTCACTTCACCTCTCTGGGCCTCGGCTCCCTCTTTAGTGAAAGGGAAAGGTAGCACCAGATAGCAGCATGCCCTTTCAAATGCACCCATAAACATGGTGGAAACACCAGTGGTTCCTTCCAGACCCCTTGGCCCGTGCTCAGGGGAATCGTGTCCCTAAAGGAGCCAGGAAATGGAAGGCAAACGTGTGCTCAGTCGACAGGAGCCGGAACAGCGTGAATGTGCTAGAAAAGGGTTGTGAGGAGGTGCTGCTCTGTGTCCCTGCCCCTCACCATGTGACCCACCCTCATGCTGCCCCCCCGACAAGCTCTGTTCTCTGAGCAACAACCCCCATCCTCATGCTGCCCTACACACGCACACACACACACACACACACACCAGCCAGCCTCCCTGCACCTCCCCTCTCCTTCCTTCCCCCACACATCCTCCCTCAGCCTGTTCTCAGAAGCCCCTCACAGGACATTATTTCCAGCTCTCCAGGTGGGGTGCCCCTCAAGGAACCCCCGGCCCATACAGCAATGTGTCCTAAGTGTGGCGGGCTTAGGGAGGAAAATCATGTTGGGATGGATGGATGATGGATGCACTGGTGGGTGGGTGGGTGGATGGATGGATAGATGGATAGAAGGGTGGGTGGGTGGATGGATGGATGGATAGATGGATAGAAGGGTGGGTAGGTGGATGGATGGATAGATGGATAAACTGGTGGGTGGGTGGATGGATGGATGGATAGATGGATAGAAGGGTGGGTGGGTGGGTGGGTGGATGGATGGATAGATGGATAGAAGGGTGGGTGGGTGGATGGATGGATGGATAGATGGATAAACTGGTGGGTGGGTAGATGGATGGATAGATGGATAGACTGGTGGGTGGGTGGATGGATGGATAGATGGATAGAAGGGTGGGTGGGTGGATGGATGGATGAACAGCCAATCAGGCCAACCGGCTGCAGAATGAATGAATGAGGGATGCTGGGTGGCTCAGTCAGTTAAGCGTCTGCCTTCGGCTCAGGTCATGATCTCAGGGTCCTGGGATCGAGCCCCACATCGGGCTCCCTGCTCCGCGGGAAGCCTGCTTCTCCCTCTCCCTCTGCTGCTCCCCCTGCTTGTGCATGCTCTCATGCTCTCTCTGACAAATAAATAAAATTCTCATTGGCTATAGATGGTATAATGTCAGTATAAAAAAGAAAAAATACTGCACTGATTAAAACATATGGAACAAATAAAAATTTACATGTTCTGGGGGCGCCTGGGTGGCTCAGTCAGTTAAGCATCCGACTCTTGATTTTGGCTCAGGCCATGATCTCAGGGTCATGATCTCAGGGTTATGTGATCAAGCCCAACATTGGATTCTGCACTGAGTGGGGAGCCTGCTTAAGATTCTCTCTCCCGGGGCCCCTGGGTGGCTCAGTCATTAAGCGTCTGCCTTCGGCTCAGGTCATGATCCCAGGGTCCTGGCATTGAGCCCCGCATCAAGCTCCCTGCTCGGCGGGAAGCCTGCTTCGCCCTCTCCCACTCCCCCTGCTTGTGTTCCCTCTCTCGCTGTGTCTCTCTCTGTCAAATAAATAAATAAAATCTTAAAAAAAAAAAAAAGATTCTCTCTCCCTCTCCCTCCACCTCCTCCCACGCTCTCTTAAAAAAAAAAAAAAAGTCCACGAGTTCACATCAATACCAAAAAAACAGAAGAAAGAAAACTAAAATAAACAATCATAAAAAATGAAGGAAGGAAGGAATGGCTGGACCAGTCAATGGGTGAAGAGGTCTGTCACGAGAGCAGCGGCCACGTCCCAGACCAGCCACGATGAGGTACCCACGCTGTGCTAAGCACATTTGCAAATTCTTTCAACCCTCATCACCAGCCCAAGAGGTAGGTGCCGTCATTAATCCCATTTTACAGATGAGAAAGCTGAGGCACAGACAGGCTAAGGCACTTGCCCAGGTTTGCACAGCTGCCGAGAGGAAGCACTAGTGTTCGAACCCAGGCCATCTGGCTCCAGAGTCCACACGTGTGTAACAACCCACCGTCACCACTGGTGGGGATTATAAATCTCTCCCCCACACGAGCAGTACCAGGAGAGGAAATAGCCGGATCCATGGACGCACTGACAGACAGGAGGAGGGACAAATGGACCAGAAGAAGGCTCGAGGGCGCAAAGGGGGTGAGAATGCCCAGCAAGTCACCCCTCGTCATCACATCTGTGTCAACACACACCCAAGAGGAACAGATCCCCTTAAGGTACAATAGTACTCACTTGCAGGTTGGTCCTTGTCTGTGCTAAAGGGAAATTGCAGGGGGAGAAAGGCAAAGAAATGGTTAAAAAATATATATACCGTCCTCAGACCTCTAGTTTCTTCATATGACAAGACTTGGCACGTGCAGAGTTGACAACGAAGCTGGCGGCTCCTTCTTCCCCCGCAGCTTCATAAGCAGGCAGGGAGGGTCCTTGTGCAGAGCAAATGGCCAGAAAGAGGCCCGTTCCCTTCCCTGGAGGTTTCCGCACCGAGTTATGTCTGGGTTTTATCATTTCTGTGGTTGTCATTTTGGTCGGGGCGGGAGGCATTATATGTGCAACCAGACACACAAATTGTACGTTTATCACGGGTGCATTTTTACATATCCCCTGTGGGATCAGCACCCCAAAGAGATAGAGACCCTTCCTAGCACCCCCACATGCTCTCCCCACTGCCACCCCCATGACCCCCCAACCAGGATTACCACTGCTCTGATCCCTCCCACTGTGCATGTGTTTTGCCTGTTCCAGGAGTCCGTGTTGGTGAAATCACACAGCACACACTCTTCTGGGTCTGGCTTCTTTCACTCTGTGTTTCTTGTTTTGAATGGTTTTCCTTTGACTTTGTGTCAAATTTTCCACACCAGCCCCGCCCCTGAGAAGCAAGGGTCTGGGCCCAAAGCAGGCCAGGCGGTCCCAGGGGAGCCAGGTGCCCCCCCCCCCGCCCCCATGACCATGGCCCTCAGCAGGGGACTGGGCTGTGCAGGGCAGAGTGGGCAGCCTAAAGCAGAGACCCGGAGCTCATCAGCGTGAACCAGGGTGCCAGAGGGAGAGACGCCCCCGTGCTGCCCGAGACATTGGCTGGGAGCTGAGGGGAGCCATCACAGAGTTCCAAGTTCATAAAGGGGTGGAGAAGGATGATTGTAGGAGCCTAAGTGGGGCAGGAATGTGGTATCATGAACAGATGACACCTTCCCACTCAAGCTCCCCAGGCTCATTTCCAGACCCTGAAGCTTTGGCTCAGAGGAGGAGCCAGGTCAGGGTCACCGAGCAGCTGGGTGACTGCGAGGTCACTCAGCCTCACTGAGTCAGAGGGGAGCAAGGCTTCTTCCCGGGGTGCCCTGGGGAAGGTTAAATGGGCCTGCATGTGAACCGGATGCCCTGGCATGAGGGGCCAGCAAAAGTCGGCCTCCTCCTAATCTTTGCCCTGCTCAGCACACATGCTTGGGTCACAGTGGACACTGGTCATCCAACTTTCCATTGGTTTCACTACCTTCCACTCCCCACAGGAGCCATAGACTGGAGGGACCCCAGGGTTGGAGGGAGTCCAGGTGGGGGAAGGCCCCCAAGCACACATTACCTATAACCTTCACAACAGCCCACGAGGTAGGAATGGGTCTCCATTTTTCAGAGGAGCGGAGGCTCAGCACTGTGGGAGGTGACTTGTCCAAGGTCACACAGCTCATATACCACCGATGGGGAGCTAAGCCCAGGTGGGGCTGCATGCCAAGCCTGTGAGCTCAAGAGAACTGACTCCTTAAGCTGGGCTCTGTGAGGGTCAAACGGGTCACAGGAGCTATACAGCCCACCCTGCACATAGTGGGCCCTCAGCAAATGTTAGAGGAAAAAGGAGAACCTACAACCTCCTGCAAGAGGCCCACTCTCAGACCAGCCCAGAAAGACCTGGCCAGCACTGCCTGGGAGAGCCTTTCCCTCCAGGAGGGCAGAGGGAAGAGCTCATTGGCTGAGCATCCTGCTTGCCCAGACAGACCGAAGGTAAACAGTAGGTGCTCAATAAATGTTGGTGGTATGAGGGAGTGTTTGGTGTGCTTGTCTCTGGGCACTGGGAGGCCAGCGGGGTTCTGTCATCCTGTTATAACATTTGTGCTCAACTGCAGCATCTCCCTGCCATGGATGATTCCCTCACCCATATCCAGCACTTGGGCACCAGGCAAAGGGGAACCAACATGGCATCGGGGTCCTCTGACCCCAGTTCTGGATTCCTCCTGGCCCACAATGGCTATGGTGTGATCTCAGGACTGGGAGCCACAGCCCCTTTTCTAACCCCAATTCTGCCTGTTTTGTTGGGTTGTGCAGAGGATGAAATGAGCTGGCAGGGGTTGGCATGCCTAACAGCCCATAAAGGGCCATGCCCTGTGAGGCCCAGCAAGATGGAAGGGCTCCCAGCAGGGCTGAGGGGTCAGCAAGGCCCTCTGGGGGCTAAGAGGAAGCTAGGGAGGTGTGAGGGCCCCTCCCACAAAGGGCAGATCGGACCCCGGCCCCAGGCCCCACGGCCCATTCTCAAAAAAACATAACCTGGCCTCTGCTATAGGTCCTGGTTCTTCCCTCACCTGCACTGAGTGAGTTGTTCCACTGATTTCTCTGACTTCAGACCATTTTTGGTGCTCTAAGAAAGAAAAAAGGGGAAGAAATTGAGTAATCCCAGAAAACTCAGGGACCCATGCCAGCCATTAAAAGACTGTAGTTGCCAGAGCAGCCCCAAGGAACCCAGCTCACTCTACCTCATCCCCTCCTCAGAGGTGGTTCCTAGACAGCTCTCATCACTGTGGCCTGACTCAATGTTTTTCTTTCTCATGAGCCTTGAGCCCCATGAGGATGAGAACAATGTCTGTCTTGTTCCCCAGGTATCCCCAGAGTCTCACCCAGTGCCTGGCTCATAGGGAGTCAATGAACATGAGTTGATCTGAATAATGAATGAATGATGACCAGATGGATGGGTGGATGGACAGACGGATGGATGGATGGATGGACGGATGGATGGACAGATAGGATCGATGGATGAGTGGAGATGGATGGATGAATGGATGGTAGATGGATGGGTAAACAGATGAGTGGATGGATGGATGGAGGATGGATGAGTGGATGGATGGATGGATGATGGATGGATGAGTGGATGGATGGATGATGGATGGATAGATGGTGGATGGATAGATGGATGGATGGATGGTGGATGGGTGGGTGGATGGATGGATGGATAGATGGGTAGAAGGGTGGATAGAGGGGTGGGTGGACAGGTGGGTGGATGGATTGATGAATGAGTGAATGAATAAGTGAAGGAGTGAAGGAATAAAGTCACCTCTGATTTACATAAGAACTATAAACAAAGTCACGACACTACTTAGTAGAGAATTTCAATCAATGGTTTTGAAAAAAGTAAGGATGATTTCACCTGAGTGAAAGGTAAGCTCGAAGACAGGAAGTCCCAATGCTCACCAGGTACTGGGAGGTTGGGAGAAGGAGTAATGGAGAGCAGGAGTAGGTGGGGGCCCATTTGTGGTGCTCAAACTCTCCCTGAGGGAGAAGCCGTGGGTTCCAGGGACATGAACTTCAGCACAGTTGTGAGTGTGCTAGAGCAAGGGTGGAGGTGGAGGTGCAGGTGGAGAAACCTGAGAAAGCTCCCTTGTATAGTCACAGCCCTCCATAGCAACCAAGGAACAACACTGCAGTGCTATGGGCCAAGGCTGTGAAGGCTCCCAAAAGGCCATGAACAGATGACCACTTATGGCCCACGTGACATGGTTGCCATCAGCCAGGACCTTCCTAACACCACCCCCACCAGCAGATGCTATCTACTGAGGTAAGTGGGACTGGCCAGCCTGCAGACCTACTTATGGCCCCCCTGGACTCTCAACACCTCCCACCCACAGCTCCAGCCCAGCGCCCACGGCTGTCCTGGAGGAATGTGATCTATCTCAAGGGAGGGTCAGTCCCCTCCCATGCAGCACCCCCAATCCAGGGTATGGTGATATGGTCAGCTCAGCCTACACACAGGGGTCCCCTGAGGCCCAGCCTTGTACCTCCATGGTGATCACCTCCACCTGGACGTTGGTCGGAAGGGGCAGATCGGGCTGGAAGTGGTTGGCCAGGGCCACGAGCAGATGCAAGGTGGCCAGCAGGTCCTTGCTGAAGATGGCTGGGGGGGCACAGGTCAGAGCTGAGGGGCTGCCCAACCCTGGGACCACATGGAGGTCTCTTTGTGGTCACAACCACCCTCTGAAGACCAAGGGGCTCTGCGTCCAGCCTTCTGGAAGGCAGAGTTCTGGAGACACTCATTCTGAACCCAAAACAGTCACCCTTTGCTCTTGCCACCCCGCTCTGCAAATGCAGCACAAGGCACCGTGTGGACGGGGCTTCAGACACAGAGGCAGTCCCTGCTGACAGTTGTGTGCAACCCGATGCCCTACAGCGGGGTCCTGCCGGGAGAAACTGCTGGATTCAGATGAGTGTGACTTAACTCAGGGCCAGTATTATACATATCGGGCATTGAAAGCGAGTCTTTAAACCAAGTGGCAAAGGCAGTGGCATGAGACCCAACCAAAGCTGGGCTTGAAAACGGCTCCATCATCACCCCCAGCCCTGGAGAAGGTACAGAACCCCTTTCTGCCTCAGTGCTCTCATCTGGAAAATGGGAGGGATGTGGGGTTCCGAATGGTGGGAAGGTCATACTGAACTGCTAATGGGCTGGGGTCGGGGTCTGGGTGCTGTGCTCATGCTCGTTTCTCACAAGCCTGCCCTGCAGGTATAACTTAAACCAATTAATGAAAGAGGACTGGTAGCACCCATCTGACAAGGCAAGTGGGGGCTCGCGGTGCTTGGGATTCAAACAGGGGCTGCATGGTTGACCGAGTTTATGCCGCCCACACCGCGGCGGTCCGGAAGTGCGTAGGGCTGTTTGCTCCCAACAGGTGCACGACTTTGCCCAGGAGGCCGTGCTTCTTCCAAGCCCCCGGGGTGTCCCCATACCAAAGGCAGGTGAGCACAGCTGCCAGGTGAACAGAGGCCACTGGTGCAAAGGGACCCAGGCGCCCCCCGCCCTCCCCTAGACCCTGCCCCAGCCGAGGCCCCACTTACTTCCCACGCTCCACTTGAGCTGCTGCTCCTCCACCTGCAGACTGTGGTCGATGGCCTCCAGGACCACCTCGAGCTTGCGCCTTTGGCTCGGGGCAGTGAGAGCCATCTCCTCCACTTCCAGCTTGAGCCCGGTCAGAATCTCTAAGGGCAGGAGAGAGTGGGAGAGCCAGGGAAGGAGTGGGGGGAGAGGTGGAGGGAAGCAGAAGAGGGAGGAGGGGGAGGGAGGGGGGAGTACAGTGGGAGGGGGAAGGGGGGAGGGCACTGGGGGACCGCCCCTTCCATAAGCTGTGTGACCTGAGCAAGCCCACGCCCTCTGAGCTGCCCTCCACTGGCCCCCTCACCTTGACCACCCCGTGCCTGCTCCCTTAGCCCTCTGCATAGCTCTGTGCACCTCCGTTCTGCAAGGCTGTGTGGCCTAGACTCCTAGGCTCAGATCCTGACTGCCCCGCCTTCTTCACTCTGAGACCTTGGACAAGTGACTAGGCCTCTCAGTTTCCTCATCTGTAAAATGGGGATACTAACAGGATAGAGTTTTTCTGAGGATTAACACACCTGCTCCATGGCAGGTGCTGGGGAAGGGGCTGGTAGGATCATTCGGTCACCAACTACAAAGGGCTCCCAGGCCGGCTGAGGACCGGAATCGGGACCACCCCAGGCCTCTGGGACCTCACAGCTTTGTGCAGAAGGCAGATGTGTAGACCAAACCTGACATCTCAACAGCAAGGGGGAGGGTACCTGGGGGCAGGGTAGGGGACCTGCCTGGGGCCAGGAGGCAGCTCTGAGAGTAAAGGCGACCTGGGGAGCACTAGGTGTTTCCAGATTGAGACAGGGTCCCCCCCCTGGGCAGGAGCCCAGCCCACCTCTACCCGCCTGGGTCGTCTCACTGCTGGCCTGTCTTCTCCAGCAGCCGGGGGCAGCCCGAGGCCAGTGACCTGGGTTCTTTGTTATCCACCGCAGCCTATAAACAGCAGGTGCTCCATACATGACACTCAGCAGGGGGCAGGAGGGTGAAGCTGAGTGAGGAGCCCACCCTTGGGGGCCTGGAGGGGCCGGGCTGGGGGGCTGGGGCCCAGACCCGTGCAGCCCTGGGAGCTGCTACTTACGGAAAAGGTGGTGCAGGATGAGCCCATCAAATATGTCCTCCTCCAGGCTGCGGACCACAATGTGCTCAGGGAGGAGCTTGGCATTGATCCACTCCATTAGCACCTGCAGATCCCAAGAGGACGGCTGACCCGGGACCACTCCTCACCTGGTCCCCCACCTGGCTCTGTTCTGACCTCGGCCTGGAATGCCCTCCTCCCACCTGCCAACTCCTACCCATCCTTCAAGGCCAGGTCAAATGTCACCTCCTCTGGGAAGCCCTCCCTCCTCTCCCAGGCTGAGTTAGGGGCCCGCGCTGGGCTCCCAGGGACCAGGGCATGGTGGGGCTGTCTTTTGTCCTGTGCAAGGTGTCAGTGCCGGGAAGCTACTGTAACTGGTCCCTGTAAGTGGGGACGTGGCTGTGGGACTGGATAACTGGGAAGAGCACTGAAGGCCCTTGATAGGAAGAGCCTAAATTGCCTCGAAGAGGCTGTTGGTAGAAATCTGGACACGAAGCAGGCACCTCTGGTAAGAGCTCAGAAGGAGAGGAAGGACATGATACTGGGAACACAGAGGAGGCCCCGTGACAAGGAAGCAGAGATTGGAGTGGCGCGTCTACACACCAAGGGACACCAAGGATTGTCGGAGACCTCTGATGGCGGGAGAAAGGCCTGGGATGGGATCCCCCTCAGAACCTCCGGGAGGAACCCACCTGCCCACACCTTGACTTAGGACTTCCAGCCTCCAGGCTGGGAGACCATCAACTCCCCTTGTTTTAAGCCACGTGGTTCATGGTACTTGGTGGTGGCAACCCCAGGACACCGGCACAGGGGCTGTGGGTGTCCCACCCTATCCCCCAGACTTTCAGCTGTGGGGCACCCCCTCTGCAGCTCTGCCCAGGCACCCCACCCTGCCTGGGCTCAACAGGCCAGAAGGGCAGGAAGCAGAGCCCTGAGCCTTTAAGGGAGCAGCGCCAGCTACTCCAGAGCTGGTGAGGAAACCCCCAAGCTCCTCCACCTCCGCCCCTGCTCCCAGAGGGGCCCAGCAGGCTTCAGCTTCCACCAGCGGCACCTGCCCTGGCGGCCCCTTCCCTCCCCATCTCCCTTCCCTACTTGATCTCCTTGTCTCTATTACCTGCTGACTCACTACTTACACCCAAACCCTTATCTCAGGATCAGCTCTTGGAGGAGCCCAAACTAAGACATGTCAGCGCCCCATCAGGTTTTCCAGGAGGGACCGAGCTGGCTGTGCCCTGCATCCCAGTGCCTGATGGTGGGAGAGGTGGGATGGAGGGAGCGAGGGAACAGGAGGCAGAAAGGAAGGGATGGGAAATGGCCACAGTCTGGGGGTGGAAGGTGGTACAGGCCAGGAGGCCTCCCTGGAGGAGGCAACAGAAAGGCCATGTGGAGACTGGAGAAGTAGGGCAGAGGAAAACGGAGGCCTGAGCCTGCCTGTGCTCAGCTGGTCCAGGAGCCACAGCGGCAGACTCAGAGCCATGGAGAAACTGGGTGACCTGGGTGAACCACGCCCATTCCTGCCCATTTTGCCAGTTCTCCATTGCCTCCGACAGGTGAAAGGGCACACGGTTTGGGGCCTGGGTCAAACTCCAGTTCTGGTCAGCCATTGGCCAGCCTTGTGTCCCCCACCAGTCAGGTCACCCCTCTGGGCCTCACTATTCCCTCCATGGGATGCAAAACAGCAGATGCCTCTTGACCGTCGTGAGGCTTGCTGGGATCATCTATGTAAAGGCACACAGTTGGTGCTCAATAAATGTTCTTTCATGTAGTCATTCAACAGGTCTGCCAGGGACCTGCAGGGTCACCACCCGCTGGCCTGAGGTTGGGGGGCGCAGGTGGCCTGCTGTCCCCACCCCAAGAAGATGAAAAGACCCCCTCCAGAGAAATCAGGAGAGACCACAGAAAGCTGCCGTACCTTTTGCAGTTCTTCAAATTTGGGATCCTGCCGGGAAGTGGGGGGCAGGTATTTCTTTTTTTCTCCTGGAAGCAGAGGTGAGCATGACACATGTGTGCGGACACTGCAGGGAGCTGGGCAGCTCTCTCCCTGCAGGTCACCTGTATGCAGGTACCTTGACACGAGGGATATTTAGTCCTGTGCTTCACACATACACACACACACATACACACACACACACACCCTGAGCAGCAAACGTCTAAAGTGACTCGGATTTCCCAGACACACCTCGTCCTCCACGCCTCTTTCTTTGCCATGCTGTTCCCACCACACCCTAAACGCCTTTCCCTCTCATTTCCCTCATGAGCACTAGCTCATCCTCAGGCACAACAATATTTATATTTTGGGGACATACCTAGCCTGAAAAACTATTTCTTGTCTGAAATTCAAATTTAACTCGGCCTCCTGTGTTTTATCTGGCAAATCTACCCACTTAAGAAGATGCAGGGTTCACGCAAGCCCAGGGGCTGGGCACCAAGGGCCCGAGGCGGAGTCCTCCTGCATCTGTCCGGCTCCCTGGTGTGGGCAGGACCCAGAGGCCACCCCGGCTGACTCTCTGAGCCCCAGGATCCTGGTCAGCAGCTTCCTGACATTCTAGACTCACAGAACCCACACTTGTCAAGGCTGAGAGGGAACTGCAAGATCATCTAGTCTCAATGAACATGGGGGAAACTGAGTCACCTTGTGGGGACTGCCTTGCCCAAATTCACAAAATGCAATGCCTCTGTCTTCATATGACGCAGCTGGGGACTTTTCCTAGACGTTCTGAAAACCTTCAAGTACTACCCAGCCCCATATCTCCCGACAAGAAGGAGGGCTCTCTAACCCGCTGGGTACCAGCCGGCTCTGGACCAACGCTTGGGGAGTTGGTGGGTGAACAGCTCCGGTGGTACCCCACCCTCACCCCACCCCTTCTCAGAGCAGGCTTCCTGCCGTTCTCAATCATCACACGTTCCAGCTCTGCCTGCCAGTACTTCAAATAGTTCTAAATCAACCGTAAAACACAAAATAAATATTTTTTCAAATAACTAAGCCCTACCGCTAACAGCAGTTTTGCTCATGACACTTTCCAGCCTCAAACCCTCTATAAACAGAGAGCCCCGGGACGACAAAGGAAGTCAGCCTCGTGACGCTGGGCCACCCCTGCACCCGGCCCCCTCCCACCGCCCGGCCGCCAGGGTCTCGCTCACCACCCCCGGGGGTCTCTCGGCCACAGCGCCTATCTCGAAAGGCTGTCTTCACAGCATCTCGATCAAGTTGCATTCTGCTCTTTCACTTCACTTATCTAACCCTTTCTCTCCATCATCACACTTAGGTTTGAAAGGTGACATAAATTCCAGTGAGTTCGCTTAAAGCCTCTGCTGAGCAGGACCTTTGGGTTGCTCCCTATTTTCTTCTTTTCTGTAACAGGGTGAGGATGGCCTGGGGCACCTGCATTGTCCTTTCCGACTGTCTCCTGGGAGGGAGGTTTCAGGGGCAGCGGCCACAAGCTCCCCAAGCTCAGAAAACAGACTTGCGGAATTCCCCCGTCCTACGGCCACCCCCCTTTGCAAAGGGACCCAGGCGTGTGAAGGAAGCAGATCGACAAGCCCCCATTCTGCGAGGCGTCAGATGTCTGCTATCCGCCACAGTAAAGGAGTCACAGGCTACCTGCTACATTCCTCTCTGGGCCTCAGTTTCCTCGTGTACACCAAGGAGGCGGGAACATCTACCCTCAGAGCAGTAAATGAGATGCTGCTACTACTAAATAAACAGCAGCAGTTGGAATTTCCTCTTAACATCACCATTAACCTGGAGATGTGCGGTCACGAGGGGAATGGGGATGCCTGCCGAAGATTCTGGAAGCGGGGGCAGGCGGCTGTCAAGGGTGAAGCAGAAGGCATCGGCAGGGGCCGAACAGAACTGGGTGCCGGATGACAACTTGGAAAGCAAGGCAGCGCCCAGACCCGCCTGTTGGGTTCCTGCCATGCAGACCCTCACCTCCCCCGCCCCGCCCGCCCCCCCAGCACAGCCCCATTTGGACAGGCACCTTGTGGGAGTTCCTCCTCCGTCGGCGGGCCCGTCACCTTAGGGAGCTGCAGCAGGTTGTATAAGGACTCTGACTCCATTTCTCCCTTGCTGGCCCTGGGGGTGCAGGGGATAGAAGGCTTATCACCTCGGCCTCTTTGTGGTTTGGGGGGGTCTCATTGCTCATGCCAGCATGGGAGGGGTCAACATTTACAGAGTGTGTACAGCCCCCTCCACGGGTTCATTATGGGCAGGGGGCCGGGCTCACCGCCCGCGGGACCGGGCACATTCAGAAGCCAGCCCTGGCCTCCTTCCTGTTCCGCTGGGCTCACTTCCTCTCCTGCTCAGCCACCCTCTTCAGCCCCTGCGTCTTCCCCCAGCGTTTCTGGTCCCAAACAGACATTGGGGCTGGGGTGTCATGCATCAGAATGGTGGCCATCTCCAGCCCCCAGGGAGGCCCCCAAAGATGGGGGCATTCACAGGGGCTGCAGCCTCCCCATCGCCCTAGCAGCCAGCCCTGGCAGCTCCATCCTGCCCTGAGGCGAGGATCCAACACTACCCCCTGGATAGGCCTCCAAGCTCCTTTTGGACAGGATTCAGTTCAAAGGACAGGCCACAGAAAAGGAAAGAGCCTTGCCTGGGGGTTAGGTGGCCCAGGTTCCAGGCTGGCTCCTCCTCATTCTCCTTGTGTGACATTGGACAAATCCCCTCCCTTTCTGGTCCCAAAGATCTTTACAGACAGGGCCGGACTCCGAGCTCACCGAAGGCACTGGAGTGGACAGAGCTGGAACGGCCTCAAGCCGTCGGCCGCCCCGGGCAGACCCTCCCTGCCCCGGGCCTGTTTCTTCATCTGAAACCGGGTGGCCTCTCTTCCCCGCACGCTGAATGAAGCTCAGGGGAGGTTGGAGGGGGAAAGGGAGGCTGCCCGCTTGGCCACGCAATGGGATGGTGCCCGTCTGCCTGTCCGGCCCCAGGAGGGAGGAATGGCCGCTTCCGAGCCTGGGGGGCCGGAGGGGCAGAGGGGCTCCGGGCTTCGCCTGGCCCGACTCCCTCCCCGTGCAGCCTCAGCTGAGGCTGTGTCCTCTGGGGTCCGTTTCCACAAGCCCCCAGGAGCCCTCCCTCGCTGAGCTCTGACTCCCGAGCTTTAGAGAGAGGCAGAAAGCCCCGAGCCGAGGGCTCCCGTGAGCTAAGATGCCAGGAGGACTCACCTGGCTGCCTCCTTCACACCAGGGAATGAAGCTGTAGCTCGTGATCACTGGCTTCCAAATAAAAGTTAAGTTCCTAGCTGTGGGGGGCTGGAGGGGCCACGCTGCTCACTTCCTCCAGGCCTGTGGCTTCCGCAGGGCCTGCTCGGAGGCGTCTGCACGCAGCTTCCTCCTCACTGGGCCGCTGAGCCTGCTGCCTCCACAGCCCCACCGGAAAGCTCTGTCCCTGGAGCCCCAACCACCCAGCCACACCTCCTGGCCCTCAGATGCCTCGCAGGCAACTCGGATCTGCGATTTCTTCCGTCTCTCCCTCTCCCCTCCCCACCACGCAGCCCAAGCCAGTCCCTCCCGGCCTCACTATCTCCGAGTGGCCAGCACCAGCCAGCCAGCCGCCGAGGCCAGAGACCCCCACAACCCCGCCCCTAGCGAACTTCGAGCTGTGCCTCAGGCCATCCCTCCACCCCCACGCCCCCAACCAGCCAGCCCCTCTTCCCCTCTTCCTCTGGCCTGGACCACATAGGAGCCTCCTTGCTCGAGCCCCACAGCCAGCCTCTCACACCCCAACCCCTGCCTGGATGCTCACGTCCCAGACCCCTCAAAACCCACCAATGGCATCCCATCGGTCTTAAAATCTACTCTGCACAGCCCAGCGTATGTCCTGATGGACCTGCTGGTTAGATCTCCATCCCCATCTCCAAACCTCCCAGCCATGTTGACCAACTTTATGCTTCCTGAACACACTACATGCCTTACTATTTCCTCTGCCTAGAAGCCCCTGCCCCAGCTTTTAAAGGGGCTAAGTCCTCATCCTTATCATCAGCTTAAACGCCTCCTCCTTCAGGAAGCCTTCCCTAACTGCATCATCTAAAAGAAGTCGTCTGTAGGATTCCTTACCACAGCTCTGAAGGTCTTCTGTGCCCCAGTGCCTAGAACAAGGCCTGACACCAAGGGACTTGATGCATAAATGCAGCTGGCTACTGTTGCCTAGAGGATGAAGTTCTTCCAGAGAAGAAATGGGCCTTGACGGATGAATAAGAGTTTGCCCGCTAAAGATGTGTGAGAATGTTCCAGGTGGAGGGAACGGTGCATGCGAAGGTGTTAAGGAGTTTGAGAAGGAGAGGCCCCAGGACGGCAGGAGAGTCGGCGATCAGCTCAGACCCGAGCTGGGGTCCTGCACTTGAATCTTCCTGGGCCAGGATGAACCTGTGAGTATTCACAGCAGCAGCGACTGTGCTGAGGGACCAGGAAGCCAAGCACCCTTTCTCTGCTGAGAGATCAGGCAGAAAAGGGGCAGAGCAGGTGGGAAGCAGGAACAAGGGCACACGTGAGCAGGAAAGCAGCGTTGTTCCCAAGAACTTACAAAAATGACAACGTGTTAGTGATTATTACTGCTAATATTTATTGAGTAACTGAAGACGCAGCAGACATCGCTCTAGGGCTTTAATTTTACTGGGGGCAGCCTCTGGGGCAGGTGCTGCTTTCATCCCCACCTGCAGAGGAAGAAACAGAGGGGCAGGATCCCATTTCTGCGCAGCCCCCCCCCCCCCCGCCCTGATGGCCCCGTGCGAGCCCGGGCTTTGTGGCGCAGTGGGCCGGGAAGCAGCAGTGCCCACACCCCCGCTGGGCTTGGGCAAGTGTGGCGGGCCCGGCGTGGCCCAGGGGTCAGTCTGCTGCCGAGTCTCCGCGGAGATGGCATGCCCAAATGGGGGGCTGAAGAGTGCTTAATAAAGCATTGGCTGGGGCCAGGTTAAGGGAACCCAGAAGAGACGGCGCTGCCCCCCGAGACGGGCTACTCCGAAGCCCAGCGGGGCAGAGGACAGGGAGGACACCAGAGCCCAGAAAGAGATGGCTGGAGCGCTGAGCCGGCCGCCAGCCAGGGGCTGTGGTAGAGGGGGGCACGCCGACCCACGGTGGCCTGGCCGAGGGACAACTAACACCCTGATCTCGTTCACTCTCCCCCACCCTCCTTCCTGCTGGGGCCTCCCACTGGCCAAAACCCAGGGGAAGCCAGCGGCAAGAACACTCGCCCAGGCAGTCGGTGAGGCCAGGGCCGCAGCCACCGCGGGGCGGGGTGGGGGGGTGTCTCAGGGGCCGTCGGGAAACATCTGGCCCAACGTTGATGCCTCGGGACACAGTAGCGGCTCGGCAGCCTCCTGGTCAGGGCAGAGGCCGCCACTGTGGTGTCCTCGGACGAGTCCTTGATGGGGGGGGTCTGTCCCCAGCCTGGGGCTCCAGCCTTCCGGTGGCTCTGGGGTCACCTCATTGCCGGTATTAGACTCCTTCCTGTTCAAGCAACTACGGCGACGCCAGTTATCTGCCACTGGACCTGGGCTAATAAAGGATGTGTTACCAGTCGAGGAAGGCAGATCTTAAGTGAGGGAGTGATGATGGATCTGGTGAGGGAAACTGGAGGGAAATTTCCACCGTGGAAAGTGTGGGATAACGAATTGGCCAGAAGTCGCACGGGAACGATGTGGCTCTGGACCAGGCGTCCCTCCGAAGCTGGGTCCTTCCCAGCGGCTGTTTGGGATCCTTAGTGTTTTTACAGCACCAAGGCCTCGCTCTGCCAGTTAGCAGTACTTCAAGAGTGAGTTTTAATGCTGCGGACAGGAAAGTTCGAGGCCCCTGAATCCCCCCGTGACTTCTGCAGGGAAGGTTTACAGCACGGCCACCGTCGAGGGTCACCCGGGCCCCTCGTCCTGCAGCACAAGGGGCACACCATCCCCCCGGAGTGGGCTGTCCAGCCGGCGCCACCGGCCCCCTGTACACCCCGTTCTGCTTTGGACCCAGACAGATAGGCCGACCCGCCCAGCTTGGCTCATCCCTATTGCACATCCGCTGCTGTGACTGCTTTTCCCCCGTGGCTCCTGCCCAGGAACCCCTCGGCCTCAGCCCCCGCGGGGCCCGGCCCCCACACCGGGCTGCACGCTGGCTCCTGGGCCCAAGCACTGGGCCTGCGCGACCAAGGGCCACTAAGCGCATGAAAGCAAAAGCAGACACAGCCCCGCGCTCTCGAGGTCTTTATTGGAATACGTTCACAGCGCACAGCACTTTCCTAACCGAGGCTCTGGCTCCCGGGAGGTCAGGTTCACGGCAGGGCCCACGGCAGACCCGAGCAGCCACGGCTTCCCGCTGCCGGCCAGGCGGACGGCACTGGCAATGCAGCCAGGGGTTTAGCGGCTTTTATGCGATATCCAGACAACCAAAGGCGCCACTGCTTAAAACAGCTAAAAAGACAATGAAACACGGGCCCGCAGAAGGGGGTGAGAAAAGCATTCAGTTCCTTTAAAACACAGCTCTTTGTCACATCCAATTAGGACATTAGGGCTCTGCGTGCATAAGACCCTGTGGTTGTCACGGGGGAAGCCCAGCTGCAGGCAGCCTCCCCATGGCCAGCGGGGGCCTCCAACAGCCGCTCTAAGAAGGATAAAAGGGGACCATCTCACGGCCCCTGCCTGGGCCCTCGCTCGGGCCCTGCAGACCCTGAGCCAGTGCCACTCGGGTGCAAATGATCTCGCTTTCACTTAGTTCCTATAGAGGGTCCCACCTCCAACCAAAAAACAATGCACTGAAAAGGTGGGTCAATTGAGGAGGAAGGGTTCTAGAACTTTCCGAGATTAAGGGAAGTGGCTTCTGCTGCGCAAGTTACCCCAAGAAGACGTCCCAGCATCGCAGACCTGAAACGCACAGCTATGGTCGCTAAGCCAGGAGGGCTGATCACAGGAGAAGAGGCCGCCCCCAGAGTTCACCCTGCTCTCTGCCTCACGACTGCGCCCCCCACGCAGATGCCCAGGCCTCTCGTTGAACTCTGATTCAGAGCGGACAGTGAAGGGAGGGGAGGAGATGCATTCAGTGCAGGGAACCAACTTGAATAAAGCCAGTTTGGATGACAGATCACCTGCTCTGCTGGAACCTTGGCCTTAGAGGGTCAGCACCGTGACACAGCTGGCCCATATCTAGGGATCCCTTTCACCAGAAACACAGAGGGCTTGAAGCACATGCACCCCCCGCCCCCCAGGACCACTGCCTCCCTTTCTAGGCGCGGAGCCCGCCGGAGCTGCCCACCTGCGCTGAAAACCCCGAGGCTGCATTCTCTCCAAATGTCAGCCCCCCATCCCTCGGCCCCCGGGACCCCTGGGGATGGGCACAGCCTGGCCAGGCCCGCCTGTGAAAGCCGGGGGACCGGCCTCTGCAGCTCCAGCGGCCGGCAGGGAACCCACGCATGTAATGAAGTCAGCACAGAACGTTCCAGCCTTGGTTCTTCTGTCAGTGTGGCCCTTTAATGTCGCCGCGTCCCGCAGGAGACACTGTAATACTGTTTTAATTATTTCTGTCCCCTGCTGGGAAACCACCTCCATCAGACTCCAGCGGCAGAGCTGAGACAGGGGACAGGGGAATCAGCGTTTCCTGAGTCGTGAGTGCCGGCGTCCGATTTAATATTAACAACCAGCACGACCGCTCCGATCAACAGCAGGAAGGTGAAAATTGGAGAGGAGAAAGGCCTGTCCTGAGAGCTGAGAGCCCAGGAAGGAGGCTGCCGTGTGTGTGGGGGGGGGTGACACAGGGCAGCCGCCCCCACCCCGTTTCTCTCTTGAGCCAAAGTGAGCGGGCGAGGGGGCGAACAGCATTCCTTTCAGGGGTGCCCAGCAGGGGATGCCAGCAGGGTTGAAAGCCACACTGGGGAGGAGGGGGGTAAAGACGTCATATTCCCCCAATCAGGCCGGAACTGTGTCCCCCAGAATCCGTATGTTGAAGCCCTAAGCCCAAGTACCTCAGAATGTCCCTGTATTTGGAGATGGGGTCTTTACAGAGGTCGGTATGTTACAAAGAGGTCACAAGAGTGGCCCTCATCCATTATGACAGGTGTCCTTGTAAGAGGAAGTTAGGACGCAGACGCACGTGGCGCAGGAGGGCCACGTGAGGGCATGGGGAAGGGAGGCCATCTGCAAGCCGGGAGAGGGGCCTCAGGAGGAGCCAGCTCTGCCTTGATGCTGGATTTCTGGCCTCCGGAACTGGGGCACCATCCGTTCCTGTTGTCTAAGTCCCCGCCTGTGGCCCCTTATTAACGGCGGCCCCTGCAAACTGAGAGGCCCCGCTTTTTATAAAAGTTTAAAAATGCATCTATTCCCAAACAGGGCCTCTGAGATGTATCAAGCAACACTTTAGATCCGGCTCCCGACCTAGCCCACTTGGCCGTCACCAAAAAAAAAAAAATCAGAAATCGCTTCAGCGAATCCTGCCTCCTGCATGGTGGCAGCTGAGGGTCACCCGGGTCTTAGATGTTTGTGCAAAAGGTAAAG